GCTGTTTTATCAACTCTATCTACAGGCATGCTCCATTCTTTAGGCATCTCAGTAGAAGTTAATCTTTCATCTAAATTAGTACCAGGTCCTGCAAAGTTCATACCTGGTATATGCATTTCACCTGGAAACTTTTGCAAAGGTAATTTTCTATTACTTGTGAATTTATTAATAGATTCTACCAAATCACCTCCTTTTTGAGCTCCTTTTATAAATTGACATTTTCTTGTTCCACAGATTGCACAATTTCCACATTGCATATTTCTTTTGTTTTTACTCACAGCATGTTGTAAGTTGAGTGTATCTGTTTTGTTTTTACATTTAACGCAATACATTTTTTATATATGTATTTTAATTTATTTAATTTAAAAAATACTTTTCATAAATAAAAAATGGAAATTATAGATTTATCATGGAATGTAAATAAAAGTAAACGTCAAAATAATGAGTTATTACCTAAAAGTATAAGAGGGATTATTGTTGGAAAATCAGGTTGTGGAAAAACAACATTATTATTAAACTTGCTATTAAGACCTGGTTGGTTAGACTATAACAATTTACAAGTTTTTGGAAAATCTCTTTTTCAACCTGAATACAAAATATTAAAAAATTCTTTTGAAAATAAATTACCAAAAGAAGTTATTCTTAAACTATTTGAGTTGCAAGATCAAATAAATAAAAACAATGTAAATCCAGAGTTTGTTATTAAAGACATTTCAAGAAATTTAAAAGATAAAACAGATATAGAATGTAAATTTTTTGAAACAGCAGATGATGTACCAGAACCTGAAAATCTTAACTGTATTAAAAATAATTTAATGATATTTGATGATTTACAATTAACAAAACAAAACAAGTGTGAAAAGTACTATATAAGAGGAAGACATAGCAATGTAGATTGTTTCTACTTGGCACAAAATTATTTTGAGTTGCCCAGGAGAACGATACGAGAAAATGCAAATTTTATTTGCTTGTTTAAACAAGATTCTAAAAATGTAAATCATATTTATAATGATCATGTTTCAAATGATATGAAATTAGATGAGTTTAAAAAGTTTTGTAATGAAGCTTGGTCAAAAAAGCATGGATTTGTTGCTATAGATTTGTCTTCTGATTTATTAAATGGAAAGTATAGAAGTGGATTAGATTTATTTTATTATCCAACTTCGTTGTGGAAACAATAAATATATATTTTTTAAAAAATATATATTTTTTTATGAAGATCAAGTTCCTAAAGAAGAGAACCTAAAAAGTGTATTTTCTTAAATGGAGAATTATTTCCTAGTAACAATCCTTTACCTACTGATGAATAATCATTTCCATTTTTTAAATAATATCCGTCTAAATAATTATATCCACTATTCCATGGGTTTAAAAATACTCCTTTTCCTGCTTTTATAATTTTAATTCCATAACCATTCTTTTTTCCATAAATAATACCTTTTCCAGCAATTTTATTAACTATAGCATTTCCAGCTGCCCCTGCTGCTCCTGCTATTGCTGCTGTTGCAGCAGTCTTTGCAATTATTGGAGCAGCACTTGCAATAGCTGTTCCAAGTAATGCTAGAAGAGGTAAAAATCCACCTCTCTTAATTGGAGAATTATCTCCTAATAACAATTCTTTACCTATTGATGTATAATCATTTCCATTTTTTAAATAATATCCGTCTGAATAATTATATCCACTATTCCATGGGCTTAAAAATACTCCTTTTCCTACTTTTCTAATTTTAAATCCATAACCATCCTTTTTTCCATAAATAATACCTTTTCCATCAATTTTATTAGCATTTCCATCAATTTTATTATCATTTCCAGCAATTTTATTATCATTTCCACCACTTTTATTAGCATTTCCAGCACTTTTATTACCTTTTTTACCACTTTTTTTAACATTATATTTAAGTTGTGCTCTACTCAGTAAAAGTGTTATACCTTTATTTTTTGAATAGGCTGCTGCCATTCTGTTTATTTGTGAGTCTGTTAACGCTAATTTGTGTTCACCATTTAAATCTTCATATGATAGTTTTATACTAACATTAGTATCAGATTCAATTGCGTTTTTAATTTTTTCATTCTGACTATCTGACAGATTGATATTAGTATAATAGTATTTTGTCATTTTATATATAAAATAATTTTTTAAATCACTTTGTGATTATTGCTTTCTGTAATGCTTTATACTCATCATCATCTATTTGACCCTGTCGTAACAACTCATCACAAATAGCAACAATCTCATTTCTTGTTCCAGTATTTCCTGCATGTAAACCAGCTAAGCGTAATTTAAGCATATCAAATAGTGCATTTGGATCACTAGGAAGAATAACGACTCCTTTTCCAGACTTTCCAATCATATCCTCCCAAATAGGTTTTATTACATTAGTGTACTTATAACCTCTAGATGATCTTGGTTTAGCTAAATTTAACTCAGAGCGAATTGCATCTGTTTGATTTAAAATTTCTTTATACTTATTACGATCATCGTTATTATATCTAACAGGATGAGATTTTACTATAATCTCCCAAAGGCCTGTTGTACCAATGTATTTTTTACCTTCAATGATTATATCATCACCTTCAATAGTTATTGGTTTTTTACCAATGTAAAATTTTTTATCACTTTCATTGTAATGTATACCAAATATATCATCTGATACTTTTTTACTATTTTTAGCAGTATATAACTTTAGATATTCTGCTGCGATAGGTCCTAATCTCATGTTATCTACAACTTCAGGTGACATGATTGCTTTAGTTTCAGAATCTAGTAAAGCAGGATAATTTGAAAAAGTATTTGCTATTTGATCAGCTTTATTTTCTAATTTAGATATTCCTTCTTTTATTCCAGATTGACTATCAATTATTGGTTTGTACAACTTTTCCAAGTTAGTCTGTAAAGCATCATAGCCCAACTTTTCATTTACATCATCTTGATATATACTTTTCTTTAAACTAGCAAGTTCTTTTGCTATTTTTAATCTTGCATCAATATCTGTAGCTTTTGCATACATTTTTATATATGTAATAATTTTTTTAAATCACAATGTGATCCCTAGATCCCTAAAGGGATTAAAATCAACATATATTATGTTAGTAATACATAATATATGTTCAAGTAAATACATAATATATGTTTTTTTAATTATTAAGAGTATTATTCATCACTCCTATATTCTGATTTTTGTTAAATCTCATATTTAACACTTCAATGACATCACTTTTGCCTTTTTCTATTCCTTTGTTAAATATTGACTCTTTAGTCTGTTCATCTATATCATTCTTAGATTTTGTTCTAATTTGTTCAGTCATAGTTTGAAACTTTTCAAGTTCTGAAAGTATCATATTAAATTCTGCATCATCAATATATTGATCTGATATAGCTTTAGAAATAAGACTACTTATTGTATTTAGTTTTGCATCAGCTAGTACTTTAATCTTTTCATGCTTTTCTGCTTTTATTGTAAATTTTTTATTAGCTTGTGATCCTATTAGTGATAATACACCCATACCTAATGCTGCACCTTCACATGCAATAGCTACTGGTGTACCAACTATTGTTGTTAAAAAACCAATACCAACAGCTCCTAATGTCATAGTAGTTGCTAGTAATGTATTATCAACTGCTGAAATGATTCTTACAGCTCTGTGATATTTTTTACTTAAAATCTCTCTTCTTTTCCTTTCACATTCTATTTTATCTTGAATTTCACTAATCTTTTGTAATCTAAAGTTATGATCTATAGATTGTGGTGGTGCAGATGGATTTTCTGAAAACTGGTTTAGATCTGGATAAAGCTGCTTACATTCATTATTATATTCATTATTATATCCATTATTACATAGCATTTTCTTTTTTCTATAAAGAAAAATTTGTTTTAAATCACTTTTGTTATCAATGCTTCGCTAAATCACTTTTTACCAAAATTAAATATATCTTCATCAGATTTATCTTTAATTACTTCTTCTATACTTGATAATAAAGATTTTACAGATTCTTTATCACTTTTCTGTTTAGTTCCTGAGTCATTTTGTTGTCTCATTTGTTCTTCTTTTGCATGTTCTAAAGCATCTCTATGTGATATATAATTTACATTTAAAATACCATTATAAGTTGATATACAACATAACAAATCTCCTTTTTTAATGTTTATATCTTTTTTATCGTTATTATATACAGTTATTTTAATATCGTCAGTAGACTCTGTTACAATAGAATTTAGTAAATTTAGTTCTGGTTTATAATTTTCTGCAATTGAAATCACTATATGTCCTTTATCTATTTCAACACCACACATTAAAGAAATGTTATTATATGAATTTGATTTTACTGTAAAATCTTCTTGTGCGAATACTTTAATATGTCTATCATTTATTGCTCTATGTTCTAAATCTGAATTAATATAAAAATTTATTCTATATTGTTCATTCTTTTCATAATATAAAAACATTCTACTATTATACATTTTATAAATGTAAAGATTTTTTTTAAATCACTCTGTAATCCTCATATCTATTTTGTTTTTAAAGTTCTTGCAATATAATTTAAAATGCTTTCACCTTGATGTAAAAAATTACACTTTTTATTATCATTATTTTTATATATTAATGTTTTTTCTCCTTTTTTATTTTTCTTTAATTTACTCTCTACTAATTTACATGGAGTATAATGACAAATTTCTACATTTTCTTCAATTTCTTTTAAATAATGAGCATATTTGCAATTTATATTTTTACATTCTTTTTTATCAAGAATATATTTGCATAATTTAGTTTTAGCTTTTCTTAATTTTAATAATTCTGACTTTTTGGGATGAAACAATCTACACTTTTTATTCTTACATTTAGGGTATTCAGAACATAGAGATAAATGTCTATATTGACATGAAGATTTAGTACATATCAGTCTTTCCTTTACAGTATTACAATAAGGAATATCATGATTGTATTTACATTTTCTTCCAAAAGGACAATAATTATCATTTAAAATATTTTTACAAAAAATGGGTAGTTTCTCTACAAAATGAATTGTTGAAGGTTTTCCGTCTTCAGTAAAATTAATATCTACATTAAATGGTTTTTCAAAACTAAATTTTCTGTTTTTGTAATGTTTTTTTGTTAAGAAACTATCTATAGCAGGATAATCATCATTAATAACATTATAAGTTGGAACATAATTAATCCATTTCAGCTTATCTTTATGCAGTTCCATGATTTGAACTGTTTTTAAAGGAATTGGAACTATAGGTTTTTCTTTAACTTCATCTTCATCATCAGATGTAAAATAAGTAGCTTCATCAGATGTATAATAAGTGTCATCTTCAGAATCTGATTCTTCAAATTCAAATTTTAATAATTCTTCAAAAAGTTTAAATTCTTTTTGAAATTCAGATATTTCATTAATCTCATCATCATTCATTTTTTATTTTTATTATTTGTAAAAATATTTTAAATCAAAAAAAATTGAAAATGATTTAAATAATTTTCTTTTATATAAAAAGAATGGAAAACGAAATGCAAAATTTATTTTTAAGATCAATAAATGAAAGATTGAGATTAATAGAAGAAAAATTAAATATAATTGATATTCATGATATTGAAATGACTGAAGATTCTGAAGTTACTACAGTTACTACTACTGAAGTTACTGAAATTACAGAAACTACTGAATATGATAATGATATTGAAATGACTGAAGAAGATGATGAAGATAATGAAGATGAAGAAGATGATGAAGATGATGAAGAAGATGAAGATGATGAAGAAATATTAAAATATGTACATGAATTAGGGTATAAAAGTACAAATGTTGCTTTTGAAAATGCTGCTGAAAATGGAAATCTTGAAATTATTAAACATTTACATGAATTAGGGTATAAATGTTCAGATTATTATTTTAATATAGCTTTTGAAAATGCTGCTAAAAATGGATATCTTGAAATATTAAAATATTTACGTGAATTAGGATATAAATGTTCAGATTATTATTTTAATATAGCTTTTGAAAATGCTGCTGAAAATGGAAATCTTGAAATATTAAAATATTTACGTGAATTAGGATATAAATGTTCAGATTATTATTTTAATATAGCTTTTGAAAAAGCTGCTAAAAATGGCAACCTTGAAATGTTAAAATATTTACATGAATTAGGGTATAAAGCTTCAAAATATGAATTTAATTGTGTTGTTAAAAGCGGAAATCTTGAAGTAATTAAATATTTACATGAATTAGGGTATAAAGGTGCAGAAGATACATTTAATTCTGCTGTTGAAAGCGGAAATCTTGAAGTAATTAAATATTTTCATGAATTGGGGTATAAAGGTACGGAATATGCTTTTAATTGTGCTTTTGAAAGCGGAAATCTTGAAGTAATTAAATATTTACATGAATTAGGGTATAAAGGTGCAGAATGGGCAAATAATTTAGCTGTTAAAAAAGGATATATTTTATAATTTTGATACATGTAGTTACTATAAATTCTAGTAGTGATAAAGCTAACCAATGCTTCACTACTACGCATAAGCACTACTATGCATAAGTAAATCTAGCGCATGCGCATTAAAAATAAAAAAATTGAAAATGAATTAAATAATTTTCTTGTATATATAAAAAAGAATGGAAGACGAAGAAAAAAAAAAAAATAAAAATAATGTTATTAAAATATTAAAAGCAATTATTCGCGCTATAGAAAATGGTAACCTTGAACGAGTAAAATATTTGCATAAATTAAAGTATTATTATGAAGAATTAGCAATTAATTATGCTACTGAAAATTATGACTTTGAATTTGAGCAACAATTATATAAATTTAAGTATAAATATGAAAAATGTGCAATTAGTTCTGCTGCTATAAACGGTCACTTTGAAGTTGTAAAATATTTACTTGAAATTGGATATAAAGTTGATAAATTAGCAATTAGTTATGCTGCTATAAATAACCACTTTGAAATATTAAAATATTTACATGAATTAGGGTATGAATGTTATGATTGGACAATTGATTGTGTTGCTAAAAATGGTCACCTTGAAATATTAAAATATTTACATGAATTAGGATATAAAGGTACAGAAGATGCAATAGATAAAGCTGCTCGAAATGGTCACCTTGAAGTAATTAAATATTTACATGAATTAGGGTATAAAGGAACAAAAGATGCAATAGATAAAGCTACAGAAAATGGTCACCTTGAAGTAATTAAATATTTACATGAATTAGGGTTTAAATAAGAAGCAAGAAAAGTCACGTGACCTGTGACGTCATTTTAAGAATTTGTCGTAATATTTCATAACAAGAAATAAAATTTAACACTTATTTTAAAAAATCAATTTTTTTAAAATAAAAAATTATTTCTTATCTAAATAAATTATACACAACATGGTTCAATGTTAACCCCAATATTAATATTAATTTATGGTTGAAAATTTGGTTGAAAATAAAAAAGTTCTATGAACTTTCATTTTCTATCTACTACTTGATGAAATTATTTATAAATTATCATTCTTTTCAAAGAAAAGCAGTTATTATTTTTATTAGTACTATTATTATTTGTAGTTTTCCTCAAGCAGAGATAAATACCTTTGTAAAGAAATTTTGTTTTTAAATTAACTTGTGTTTGCCTTGACCAGATCTCAATTTGTGTGTTTTAAATAAAAGTTTTGAATCTGATCACAAACCATCATTTGCAAAAGATAGCACAAGTGCATCATAGTTCAGATAAATTATTCTCAATGAATTTGTATAATAGTTGAAATTTATTAATTTCATTTTTTTTTAGCAATTAAGAGAAAAGGTTATTTTATTGGATAAGGTTAGTTTAATTATTCAATTAGTGAAGCAATTTATGGACCATGAATTAATTTGGATATAAATTCTCATCCAACTTGAGTTTATAGAGGATGCAAGACAAAATCATACTTTTGAACAGAATTGTAAGACCTTTAGTAAAGATTTAGCTTTACTGATAACCTAACTAGATGGTTTGTTTTTTGAATGATTGTTGTCAAAATAAAAAGTTAAGTAGAATGAAACAAGAAGATCTGCTCTTGTGGTATATGCTCCGTCGAACAGGGATAAATACATCCATTTTTTATTGTTTTAATTTTCTATAAAAGCTTTGATCTTCAAAAAAATAATTAATTTTAATTATTTTTTTGAAGATCAAAGCTTTTATAGAAAATACTATTATTTTAAAATTAGTGAATTTTTTATACTTTTTAAGCAAAAAAATTTTTTTTCTCAATCTCTTGTTTGTCACGTGTTTAACAAAAAAAAAACCGTCTCTAAGCAAAAATAAAATTAGGCAAAAGAAAGTTATTTTGTGAAAGATATGGTTTATAACTGATATAAATATAAGTTTACATAATATAAAGTTTATATAATATAATTATATAATATAAAGTTTATATATATAAACATAACAAGACAAATGTCTTGTTACGTTTATATAATGAGAAATTTTTTATAAAATTAGTTATATTATTTAATTTTTATTCGGTTTATTGTTTATTTATATGTATACTGATATTAATTTACAAACTAATATATAATAATATGTATACTAATATTAATTAACACATTACAAATTCTGTTTAAAAAACATGCGTTTCACTATTTTTTTTTTTTTTTTTGTGGTTTTTTCATCTGGTTTATTATTACGTTATATTTAGATTACGCTAAGTTTAAATTACGTTTATAACGTCAGAAAAAATAACAGTAACTAAATTTTTTTTAATTACTTTTATTTTTCGTTTTATTTATTTCACATCATTATACTTAATAGAATTAATAGTTTATTTTCTGTATAAAATAATGTATAATTTATTATTCGACGTGTTATCAAGCTTAAAAGGTGATCTAAACGTTTTTTTTTTTGTGAACTCACAAATACTTTCATTTTAAACGGTTGCGATAGTTACGATATAATTCTATAAAACTAAGCGGTTGATTTAAATTTTTTGTTCGAATTTGTAAACAACAACAACAACAACAACAATAACAATATATTCTGAAATAATAGTTTACATTTCATGGTAGTTTACTAATAGTACGAGTACTAATCAAAGGTAAACACCAATTAAATAATAATAGCAATCATATAATAATAATAATAATAATGATAAAAGCAATAATAATAATAGCAATAATTATAATAATAATAATAATAATAGCTATAATAACAATAATAATAATGTAAATTAAACGAAGACGATTATAATAATACCAATAATACTATTAAATATAATAATGACAATAACAATGATTATATCAGTAATTATAATAACAAAAGCAATAATAGTAATAATAATAATAGTAATGAAGTTAACAACAATAGTAACAACAATAATAATATTAACAAATATCACATTCATATATTAAACAATTCCAATAAGTAATAATGGCGGTAATAAAAATGCAAATAAAATGTAAGTAATATTAACATCACATATAATAATAATACTAATAACAATAGTAATAATAATCTATTTTAAGCCTAAGATTTTAATTTGCGTATTTTTCTATTAAAAAGTCAAAAAGACGGGTTTTAAATTGTGAAAAAGTGTTGAGGGATTGAAAATGAAAAGGTAAATTATTCCATGATTTTACGCATTGGTTTGTAATAGAATTATCACCGTATTTTACCGAACAGCGATTTGGGATAGATAATTTAAAGTTACTCAAAGATCGAAGGTAATAACGAGAACTTTTTTTAGTGGTAAAAAAATTGGAGAATGACGGAGGGAGGTTTACTTGTTTATGATTCCAGACAAATAGACAATTTAATAGATAAACAAGATCACATAATTTGAGTATTTTTGATAGAAAGTAAAGGATGTCAGAGTTAGAATGATACTGTTGAAAGAATATTATTTTTAAAGCTTTGTTTTGTAGGTTACATAACCTTAAAAAAGCATTAGACTTGCATTGTCCCCAAACCTGACAAGCGTATCTAAGATGAGATCCAAAAATTGCATGGTATATATTAAGTAGTGTTTCATAATTGACATAGTGGCGAATTTTGGCTAGCATCCCATTTGATCTACACAATTTTACTGCTAAGTTTTTAAGATGAGAGGAAAAGGATAGATCTGAGTCAATTTGGATTCCAAGATATTTTAATGAAAGTAAGGGAAAAATTTTTTGTCCACTTAGTCTAAAGTTTAGGTTTTTACACATTTTAGATTGATTAGATTTGAAAATAATGAGTTCAGTTTTGTTGGTATTAAGACTTAGTTTGTTAGAGCGCAGCCATTGAAGAAGGTTAGATAAATCATGGTTAATATGTTTGTTAATTTTTTTTAATGATTTGTTAGTTATGAGTAAGTTGGTGTCGTCAGCAAAATGGTAAGCCGTTGAAAATTTTAGAGAGATATTAAGATCATTTATAAAAATAAGGAAAAGCAGTGGTCCTAATACAGAACCTTGGGGTACACCAGTGGAGCATTTTATTGGAAAAGATTTGGCATCATTAATAGAGACAAATTGCGATCTATTAAAAAGATATGATGAAAACCATTGGAGAGTGTTACCTCGAACACCGTAGTGTTCCAATTTTTTTAAGAGGATGGAGTGATCAACAGAATCAAAGGCTTTCTCTAAGTCAAGAAACACTCCACATGCAAAAAGCTTATTGTCAAGAGCATTTCTAATAGTTTCAGTTATTTTAATAAGTGCATGAGTCGTGGAGTGTTTGTTACGAAACCCATACTGATGTTTGTAAAGACATTGGTTTTTGTCAAGAAAGCTATAAAGTCTGTTGTACATGGCTTTTTCAAATATTTTACTAATGTTAGATAGAAGAGAAATCGGTCGATAGTTTCTGTGATCCATTAGAGAACCCTTTTTATGGATAGGAATAACTTTGGCTATCTTAAAAACATCTGGAAAAAGACCTTTATTAAAAGAATTATTTAATATGGTACAGAGAGGCTTGCAAATAACATGAGAAGTAAGTTTAAGAAGGTGTGTGGGGATACTATTTGGTCCAAAACTTTTAGCATTTTGTAAACTATTTTTTATTAAATTAGATACCTCATTTTCAGTCACTGGATTAAGAAAGAAAGAATTCGAATTAGCATTTTTTAAATAGTCAGAGAAGATACTTTTAGAAGAAATCATTTTACTTTTGGGTGGGTGTTGTATTGTTTCATAGTATTTGTTAAAAATGTTAAAAAGATTTTTATAAAGTTCGATCATCGAGTTTTATGTATATAAAACCAAACGTTTTGTTTTTTTTGGAAAAAGTACGAAATTATTCTGTTACCATTGTTTATTAAACTTCACACTGGTCACAAATACTTTTAAAAATTCGTAAGTAAGTATTCTTTAGTTTTATATTCGTTTATTTGTTTTTATTTAAAAAGTTTATGTTTTAAAACAAAATTTATATTGTTACATAACCTTAACTTACGACGACTGTTTTTCGTGTAAATTTGATGATAATAAGTATTTTTTTATTGTTGATATATTAGTTAAATTATATTATAAATATACAAGATTAAGGTGCTAAAATGTGTAAACCTTTAAATTTAATGTAACATTTTTTATAATATTTTGATTTCTATCTTTAAGCTTATTTTTTTAAATATAATAGAGCAAATAGATACGTGTTTTTATAATGTTCAAACTTTTTTTATATTTAATCTCTTGGAAATGCGATAATTGAGTTTGAAAGAGTGAGTTTTTTTTATTGGAAAGGTAAATCGAAAATAGATTTAGAATATTATAAATTAAGATTTAGAAAATATGTTAAAAAATAAATCAAATTGCCTTCAAAATGTTAGTGGTGCAAAAAAAATGCATATTTATAAAAAAAATGCATATTTATAAACCTTGAAAAAAATTCTTTTATGAAGTATAAGGTAAGACCTTCGTCACAAAAACTCTACGCTACAAAAAATATATTTTCATCGCGTAGAATTTATTGATTTACAAATTTTTTACTTTAAAAAATGTTTGGCATGCTTTAGTATGCAAAAAAACTAGTACAGTATAATAATGGTATGTAAGTACCTATGCCATACTAATTTTAAAACGTACTGAGCTATTATTTAATTACATTTTTACCCGTTTATTTTTAATCGTTCGTCTAAGTTTGATATTTTAGAAAAAACCTGTTTCTTTTGCTAAAAGTTTCAGAGAAATATTATTTACATGAAACAATTGTGAATGAGGAATTATTTTCTTGTTTGCGTTGAAATGATTGTTTCATGGATTTAATTTTTACTTTTTAAAACAAAATGTCGTTTGATGTGATGTTATTGTAATTTTTAAATTCAATCGGTTTATCTTATGTTTGTTGCTTGTTTTTATATATTATATATATTACATTTTGTAGCTTTAATGATGAAATTATGTTGATTTTGATGTGTAAATGTCTCATGATTATGAATCTTTTATGTGTGTGAACAACCGTTCTAATTTTTGTTATGTTATTTTAAATATGCTTAATTTATAACTTATATTTAAATTATTTTGTTTTAGAAATATGATAAATTAACAAAATTAAAAAATTGTCTTTTTTATTATATTTTATATTACATTTTTATATATATTTATTTTTCATATGAATTATTTTATCTAAAGGTTTCACACTTTTATTATTTTTTTATATCTTTTTAATTTAATATAAATTTATGTATATAATATTATTGTATAAAATATAGTCTATTTAATGAAAATAAAAAATTGTATGTTTTTTATTCAATCATTAGTTAATAAAAATTATATGTATGAATATGTAAAATATTATAATGTATATAATGTTATAGTTTTGATTATTATTTTTATTATTTGTTCATTTTTATAATTAATATTTAATGTTATTTTAGATCGTCTAAGTAAAAGTGATGACAAAGAAGATTTCCATGATTTATTCATTGAATGTTTTTATGAAAGTCAATCATCATTTAATGATGAAATTAAATCAATTGTTGATAAACGAGGAGAGTGGTTGATTTCGATTCACAATGGAAAAACTTCTTACTTAACTTCTTGCGAAAATTATTTCATAAATCATTACGTAAAATCTGGAAGAAAGTTATCGTGGTTACAAGTTTATAAAAATATTTTAAGTGATGAAGAAAAAAAACTTTCAATACTATGTTCAACTAATGTCAGCTTTTATCGTCCAATTAATTTCGAAGGTTGGAAACCGAAAGATAAGATTGAAAGGTTGGGGATATGGTTCTCAGATTATTTAATAACAAAAAAAGATTTTGAAGAAAATTTTCTTCCGTGGATTAATCTTTGTAAAGAATTATATCTTCAACTTCACTACGACATTGACTTTATTAAAGAATTTTATGAATGGATTCGTTGTTCGAATGTCAAGAAGTTTGAGATCAAGTACCGTGGAAAATATTTTGATAACCTCGATGAATTAAAAAACTTTACAACACGATAAAATATTTAATACCTTAAATATATTAAATTAAAACAATAACTATAAATAACTAATGAAATATTTAATGTATTATTTTATAATAAATACGTTTTTAAATATACAAATTAATTTTATTAGTTTATTAGATTTAATATTTAAAAGTTTAATTTTTTACTATTAAAATATTTTATAAATAATTTGTTTCCAAATATATTAATAGTTATATTTATGATATAAATTATTAAATATATTATTATAGTATATAAATTTTCATATATATTATTATTATTAATAATATTATACTTGTAAAATTATAAATTACAGTACATGATTTATTGTTGTTTTTTTTAAATATTATATTTTCAGTTTTTAATTATTATGTTCTTAATATATAATTTTTTAAATAATATTGTTATTAACATTTGTTTTAATAAATAATAAATGTTTGTTTAATATTTTTTTTATATTAATTATTTTATGTTTTATTATTATGTTTAAGAATTAAATTAAAAAATCTAAATATGCAAATTAAAATAAAATGTTAATTTTTTTTATTTTATTATCAATTTCTTTTTAAATAATATCGTATTTAAGATAAAGTCATAAGTTTTTAAGTTGATTGAATTCTGAATAAATCAACTTTTTTTAATTAGATTTGCACTTTTTATACTAATTTATTTTTATAAAAAAATAACTTTTCAAGGTTTTCGCCATTGTTTCTTGAAGAGATCAACAAAATATAAAAATTCGTCGTCAACAAAATAAAAAATTCGATGGTTTATTAGAATTTTTCTTCGAAGATTTTTAGTTCGAAATTTCATATTTCTACTGACGTTTTTACTTAATTTGAATTGACTTTAAATTTTACTTAATCGATCAAAATGTTTTATATAAAATGTTAATAAATATTGAAAGAAATATTTTAATTAAAAATAATTTTTTAAATGGTTTTCAATTTTTTTGTAAAAAGTTTTGTTCTCTCTCTCCATAAGTAGCAGTTTTAAACCGTGATTTTAATTACCGAAAACTATAATATTTAGAAAATATAGTAAAAAAACAATGGAAGAATTTAAACTACTTTTTAAGCTAGAAAGAATTAAATAAAAACCAAATAAACATTTAATCTTTTTTAAAAAAATTCAGTTTCAAGTTTAGACTAATAAACACCGCGTTTAAATGTTTCTAAAACCGCGAATGAAACTTTATTACACGATCGTAATAAAAATAAGCAAAAATAATTTGAGTACGCAAGTTTTGATTTTCAAAAGTTACGCGAACATTTTCAATGCCAAAGAGATAAATGTTGGTCTTATGTTACGTTAAGCCCATTTGTTAACAAAACTGCAGCTAGCAAGTACTGTGACAGTAAAACCACAACTTTATTGAACAAATTTAGTTAAGTTGAATAAAAACAATATAAATAAGTGAATACTTTTTTATAATATAAAATAAATATAAAAAACTATTTTAATTCGAAAAATCTTTAAAATTCTGTTTTTAATGTAAGAAAATTTCACGTTTTAAAATCTTTTTTAAATTTTGAAACTTATAAAAAAACATAAAAACAAACTATGTGGCTTAATGTATGGATATATTAAATTGCCGTTAACCAACCATGTCATGATTGTTGTTTATAATGGCAGTTTAAATCGTGACATTAAACGCAAAAATAAGTTTTAAAGAATAAAGTAAACAAAAATAACTCTTGTAAACAAAATCAACTGTTGTTCATTATTTAAAGGTAGTCGGTAAAATGCGAACCGCGAACTGCGGACCGGTAAAATGCGAACCAAAACATTATATTTTAAAGACCATTATTGTTAAGATAAAAATTATAATAAAAAAAACTCTCAAACTCTTAATTATTTATTTTAAAGCTTTATTTAAAATAAATTTTTTAGTTTTTAACTGTAAATAATGCGCGGAGTGTTGCTACATCGACTATCTTATAGCCTGATTCGCAATGGAGTGCTGCTACATCGACTGAGGGTTTGGTTTAGGCAGAGAGTCTATCAAATAATTAAAAAAAAAAATTGTATTGTATTTTTCTATTTTCTCTCAATTTCTTTTTATTTATTTTTAAATAATTTTTTCTCTTAAAAGTCTGTAAAATATACCGCTATATTAAAATATTCCGCTATAAACATTACATCATTAACAACGATGGTTCGCAAAAAATGGTTTGCATTTTATAAGTTCGCGGTTCGCAGTTCGCAATTTATCTAAGGGGCCATCCATAAAGGACGTCATCCAAATAGGGAGGGGGAGCGGGTCGAGTTAAAAAGGACAAAGGGAGGGGGAGGTTGTCAAAAAAGGACGTCACTTTATAGATATTTTATTTTAGTTTAATTAACATGGAAAACTACGTAAACATGTGTTTTTATGAAGATAATGTATGAGAATATTTTTAATTTTATTTTTCAAAGGTGTAGCAGTAGATTCAAACATCATTGCAATATGAAATAAATTTTTTTGGAGTTAAAAATAGGGGGGTTCAGGATTTTATGACGTCTTTTTCAATGGGGTAGAGAAAAAGGTCAACCTGTGACAAAGGAGGGGTTGGTGGTCAAAAATTGACTAAAATTGGTGACGTTCTTTAAGGATGGCCCCTAGTACCATTTTTAACCTATTCGTGACGCGTGACCCGAAAGGCGGTTCATAAAATTTCTAAACGACGAGTGACCCGCATGACGGTGCAAAAACAATTTTAAATATTTTTAAACATCTATAGCAATTAGGAATAACTTTAAAACTATCTTTGAATTGTGAATAATTTCTTTAGTTAATGCTTCAAACCGTTTCTTAATTGCATTGATCGCTCAAAAATCAATTTTAAAAAATGACGAAGAACAGATTATATTATATAGATATAAATGAAATCATTTATATTTGTTTCAATGATAGTGGTGGATATTTTTTTTGTTTAATCAGCATTATAAAAATTTTTTTTATTGTTGAATATTCTAAAAGTTAATTCTTAGACAAAAAAAAACAAGGTCTTGTTTTTCAAATTCTGACTTGTAGTTTTTATTTTATACACTTTCAATTGATCATGATTCTAGTTCTTTATTTTACGCGCAGTCATATAGCTGTTTTTAGCTCAGTCGCGAAAGGGTTAAAATGCAAACATGAAAGAAAGCACTAAAATTAATAGGAAAAGGTCAACAAAATTTCAAGGCCTAAGTTATTGGCCTTAAGGCCAATAATTGAAACTAGCAGTTCTGATTAAAACTCTTGTATAATTCTCACCTATAAAATATTTTATCTGTATTAATATATAATGTTATTAAAAAATATAATGTTATTAAAAAATAAATTTTATACAGAATCACGCACTAAACAGAAACTATGAAAGTCTTTCACAGAGTTCATGCAGTTTATTAATATCTCAGCAACTCATAGTTAATATACTTTCAATAAGAAAGTATATTAACTATGAGTTAATCTTTCAAGCAGGAGTATAGCGTTATGAAAACCGTTGTATATTATTCAAACTATCGCAACATTAACTCAAATAAAAGATATACTGATAAAAATATACATGTTTAAACATTTAGCCTAAAATAGGATAAAAATATTTTATAATCTCAGTTCTTATTGTAAAAAGTAAGAAAAAAAAAATACACAAAAAAATGGAAACCAATAATAAGTTTAAAAATGATCTGGGGATATCCATAAATATCTCAGTAAATATTAAGGGGGGGGGGGGGGATTAGGGTACTGAAACGTTTGACAAGAGTTGACGACGGGAAAGGGAGCACCAAAATTGAGACCGAAATCATGTCAATTAAAAAAAAAAGTTGGTTTTATACGCGCGGATTTTAAAGGTATTTAAATATTCAATGTGGTATAGAAAAGACATATTTGTTTTGTGGGTAATTTGATGTAAGTTTATTAGAAATATAAAATAATTTGAAAATTTACCAACTTTTTATTATTGTATTACCATTTAACTGTAAATTAAATTGTTTACAAATTTAGTATATAAATTTATTAGTATATAAAGTTAAGAATTGTAATTCGCAACTTAGCGGATTATAAAAGGTGCTTCAAAACAAACGCTAAAGTCATTTTTTATTATTTCAAATACAACTGTCTTTTAAGTACATAAATAATTAAGTAATTATTTTAAGTACAAAACTTTGTTTTCTCTCTAGCGACTTGTAAAATGTGATGAAATGCAAACACATAAAGTCACTATTGCGAATACGAAACTCTAGTTGCCCTAAAGCGGCTTGAAGAAGTTCTTTCAAACAGCTTACAGCAGGAGCAAAATCAACATTTTGATTGTGATGTAAGTAATACTGATAAACCAATAACACATATATGTATAAAGCAACGAATCTGGTTATGTCTCAAGAAGACAATAACAATTTGGTTTGCTGAGAGCATTCACTACCTATTGTTACAATCGTAGATCACTTCAACAACCCGTGGAAAGATGATGAGTGATTGAACTTTTATTACAGGTACAGAATAAAATTGGCTTAATTTGATTAGTTTGTTTATTATTTGATGAGATATTAAGTGTTCTATAATAATATTTGATAAGATCTACAACAAAATAAATGTATAACTTAACCAGAAACAAATCAATGCTGGTTAAGCATATGCATGGTCACTTTAGGGAGGAAAGGGGAAAGAGATACGAAAACTGACATCATATATAAGGAAGGGAGGAGAAATTGGCAAGAAAAATAACAGAGTTTGACAAGGGGAGGGGTGAAAAATTGTTAGAAATCTCATACATCATTTATGGAATGTATGCCTTAGAAAAAAGAAACACTTTTTAATACTTTTTAGTTTCAATGTAATATAAAGCATTAAATTATTTAGTTTTCAATTTGCACGAAACTTCCAAATTAAATTTTACTATAAAAAAACAATAGAACACGATAAAAGAATTTTTTTTTTTATAGTCAAATTTTAAAAGTTTCTTTTTTTTTCGTTTGAAACTTGAATAAATTTTAAGATTTCAACGTAAATTTATTTTCCTATTAAAAGTCATTCCATATTTTATGTTCTCGATAAGATATACAAATTTCTTAGAGTTTAGTTCATTTCGGGGGCAACGTTGTTTTTGCTATTTGATCTTAGATTACACTTTTCATTTATAATTATTTTAAACTTGTTGTTGAAGTTTGCTGGCAAAAGTGTTATCTATACAAAGTTAGATTCCGATTGATTTTATTTCAAATATACCCATCATTTTCGTATTTTTTACAAGTGGTTTTGCATTTAAAGTATTTTGTTTTACAAAGTAAAACAAAATACTTTAAATTAAAGTATTTACACGTTTTTGTTTAAAGTATATGATACGTCAAGCGTGTTTTTGTAGCCTATACATTTTTAGACATTTTTTTGATTGCGCACTACCCCATTTTATGTTTGCATAGTCAATAAAACAGTGAACCAACCCAAAATATTATATTTTGAGACTTGAAATATCAACATATGATCGAACTCAATACATTACGCCAATAGTTTTGGTACTTTTTAACAGTTATTGACTGCAGATAATTTATATAGGGAAGCCAGGATAAATTATCGACTTCACAAATTCCTTAAAATTTTATACTTAGTTATTTTTTAATTATTATATCTTTTAAATGAAGTTCGCGCAATTTAAGAGGAATGTTTAATTATTGTTGTTTTGCATGGAACAGAGTATAATCAATTAATAAAAAGTAATGATATGAATGATGTTGAATTTCTAATAAGTCTTTAGATTTTGAGTTTTCAATTTTTTTTATATTTTATTATTATCGAGTATGTAGGAGAAAGCGAGGCAACATAGCAAATAGGGCAAGATGAGTTTTCATATAACAATTCAACAAAAAATCAAAAATTTGGGTGAAAACTAAACTGAATTTGCATCTTGTATTTTAAAACACTAATTGGTTTTTTTAAATACTATAAATGCAAATTTATACACATTGTTTTACTATTTGCGCTTAAAAAAATTCCTCACTTTTGGTTTCACATAATGGATGGTGTCCTTCAAACTTACCTAGTTTAGAAGTAGTTTTATGCGATGTGTGTTTATTTTGTGTTACTTTAGTTAGAGTTAATGGTAGTTTTTAAAATGTTATAAAATTGGAGGCAAAAATTGCATAATAAGTCATCTTGCCTTGGTCAAGTGACCAGATGACAAATTCATGAAGTTTTTATTTTAATATTTATTTTAGATTGTTATATTTTCAAGTAGGTAATGAATCATTTTAATAACATAAACATATCGAGAAAGTATTATTGCTTCACAACTGATAGTTTTGAAATAACTCAGGGCTTTCAAAACGTTCGCCATGTTCATGTTCATGTTCGCCATGTTCAAGTTCATTCGCAGTTTTACTATTTTAGAATAGTTTTTCAAAGTTACATTATTTAATCTTTCTTACTTATTTTTTTACAGCGTAAACCCAGTTTCTTTTTGGTATTTTGAGCAATTTTTATTTGTTACAATAGCAATAAGCAACCATTTTACATATCTTTTTTTGATCGCCAGTAATATATTTAGTATTTGAATCAATAAAAGTTAGTCAATTTGTGTCGTTTTAAAACATGAGGGTAGTTGTTCCTTAAAAAAACACACGTTTGTAAAAGGTTCTAATGATAAGATCAGTACTATCTTCTTTTAGAAACCTTGTTTGTGTTTGTGAAAGCAATTTATTTACTACGACAACAAATGCAAAATAAAAATAATAAAAAATAAATTATCGCCATGATGAAAAATAAAGAAATATGTCCGTAAAACAAAGTAGACAGTAAAATCTTGTCAACAAGCACCGTTTTTGTATATACAGTATATAAAATAAACTATACTTTTTTACAATGATCTTTATAAAATAAAGAGTTAAACAGACAGGGGCTCAAAAAAGATGAAGACGACAAAACGTCATCGCAATCTTTTCATAGAGCCCCCTATATACATTAGGTTATGAATATTAAATTAAATTAAAAACCCTAATGGGCATAAAACTGCTGCTCTGATCAATAAAAACAAATAAATAAGATTATAAAGAAAATTACTTTGTAATCCTTTTAAGCACAAATAATAATCAAATTTTAAAAATTTCTTTTTTTATCAGAAACTTAAATGAACTTAATGACTTTGCCATACATTTGGATCCTTTTTGATATCTATTCCATATATTTGGCCCCCGATATGCAATGCTATATTCAGTATATTTATTAAGGTTTTGAGGCAGTTTATATGTGTTACTTATATTTGCTCTTAGATAGTAGTTTTCATTTATGTTTATTTCAAACTTGTTAGTAAAGTTTGTAGGAAAGAGATTATTATTAAATTGATACATAAAAATTAAATGCTGATAGATATTTATTTCAAAAACATCCATCATTTTCATATCTTTTATTATAGGTTTTGCATCCTCCCGCTTATTTTTAAAGTAAATAATTCTGCATGCGTGTTTTTGTAGACTATAGATTTTTTTAAGTTTTGATGGCTGAGTACTTGCCCATGATATGTTTGCATAGCTGATAAAGCAATGAATTAGTCCAAAGTAAAATAGATTTAGACTTTGTTTATTGATATATGAGCGAACTCTATACATCATACCAATTATATTACTGATTTTAGATTGAATATATCTTACTTGAGGAAGCCAGGATAGCTTCTCATCAACAAGAACTCCTTAGAATCTAATGCTGGCTTGTTTTTTAATTAAGTTATCATTTAGGATAAGGCCAGGCAACTTAAGAGGAAGGTTTTCTTCTTGCGCCTTTTTATGGAATAATATATATTTTGTTTTCTCTGAGTTAAGCGAGAGTTTGTTAGCTCTAAACCAATTATTTACTTTAATTAGTTCGATATTCATGTCTGCATATAGATTCTTGATATCACTGTTAGTAAGAAATAGATTTGTATCGTCAGCAAACATGACTGAATTTAGTTTTAAAGATGCATTGCAAAAATCATTTATATAAATTAGAAACAGAAGTGGACCAAGGATAGATCCTTGGGAAACTCCAAACAAAACATTTAATATTCCAGATTGTATATTGCACACATATTGTTTTCTATTGGTAAGATAACTTTTAATCCAATTGTAAGTTTTATTAATTATACCATAGTATTTTAGCTTATCTAATAGGATGCAGTGGTCAACTGTATCAAAAGCTTTTGATAATTCAATAAAAACTCCTAAAGTAAATTTGTTTTGATTAAAACCATCGGTTATTTGATTAACTAATTCAATAATTGCATGCTCTGTTGAAAGGTTTTTTTGAAATCCAAACTGGTTTGGGTAAAATAATTTGTTTTTGGTAAAGTGATTATAGATTCTATTATAAATTACACGTTCGAAGAGCTTTGAAAAAACAGAAAGTATTGATATAGGTCTAAAGTTGGTTATGTCCGAATGTTCATTACATTTAAATATAGGGATTACTTTTGCTAATTTAAGTACATCAGGGAAAATCCCAGATGTTATTGAGAGCTTTA